GGAACATACCCCCCTTTTTGCCCTGCCCAACACCCATCTCCCAGCCAATATTCAAAGCAATCCAATTTTTCCCTCTTTTTTTCCTCCACCGGGGGGGGGGGGGGGGGGGCGTACGGACAAGAAGGGGTGGGTGTGGCCTGTCGTGGTATGCGTTGTCTCAATATGTTTAGTCCGTAGTTTCTTCGTAATTCAAGCAGTCGGGATTGTTTAGGGTAACGAGACGATTTTTTTTCTGTAGGGCAGGGCAAAGGGAAGTCCACGCGGTGATAACATCCATTCATCATGTTAATTCAGATTTCAACACAAGTTCAAAGGAGATCACAGTGGTACGTACCTGTAGACTTCGAGTTCCTTGGGGGCGCCAGCAGCATCCCCGTAAGACTCGATCGTCATGTGTACAGACAAAAGAAACAACGTGTGCACCTCGCGTTAAGCGTCAACGTACGCACACGATCCCTCGACCCAGCCGTAAGGCGCAACAGATTGCATGACCTTATTCAGTCGTAAGTACCTCCATCGCTTCATTCGCGCATGGTGAACATTCATGAGAGCAGGTTTGGCGAACGCGTGGGTGAGACAGCTCTAGACTTTATAAAGCGATCACGCCGAGGTATCAGGCCTGTTTCGAAGCGGCAAGAGATTCGATATAATGTACGCCCCGCTGGGAACCCCCGCACACCCCAGGTTATTATTTCAACGTGGCATTGGGCACCACAGTGACATACGGTATTACTCCTTTGATTTCCGGTGCAGTTCATGCTGATGACGTGGTATCACCGGATGGCGTCAAAGAAACGATCACGTTAATGCCTCACTCAACCGTACAGTTAATAGCGAATGTACATCTATCTGTAAGTATGATGGTGTGGTTCATCACTATTTAGTGATGTGCGCACTCCCCAATTCACCGGTACCTGGAAGAGAGAACACTGCGAACGGAGGCACATCAAGTTTAACTTTCGATATCGTCCACCGGGATGCTTCCCTATAAACTTTGCGGTGTAACCGAGGGGGTCCGCTTCAACCAACACACCAACCAACCAGCACGACGACGGTAGACGCAAAACCTCGCACAATTCAACGGTCGGAGTCAATAAGTGGTTTCTGCAATACTACGAACACACATCGTCATCAAAACTGGCGTCAGCCACCGATTGTGTGTCTTGTAAACAACGCGCAAATAAACGTATGTGCCAATCTCAGCAGTTTCGGCTGTCTAACTGGCGGGTTGGTTGCCCTCCTGCCTCCCTGCCTGCGTACGTGCGTACCAGTTAGCGTAAGGGTTTCAATGATCACTTTGTTGCCCTTAAAAAGAGGGCGACCTAGCCAAAATGAAGTACAATATACAACCAGTATGGGGGGGTTCTCCACAAAAAAAAGAAAAAAACTCTTGACCGGTTTGCGCGTGTGAAACCTGGGCACGTATTCGGCCAGGGTTCAAGCGTCGATGCTACCGGACAACGTCCTCTCACACGCTCTCCAGCGTACCCTGCTTGACACGGCCAGAGACACTTTGAGGCCAAAATGCCTTATCGCCAGCCACGGCATAGAAATTGCTCAGATAGGAAAAAACACCGTGTAGCAGGGAGAAAACATGCATTATAAGCCTATGATGACATAGGACACAAAAATCAACCATACCCGGGAATGTGGCCGGAAACCAATTTAACCAAATCAATGGCCTTGTGCTGTGTTTCATCCGTTCGTGAAGCGAAGGGGTTCTCTACGTCCTTCCTTGCTGCCGAAGATCGGACTCGATTTTGTCTCTTGCGAAGCAGGCCGCCGTATACACAAAGCCTGGCTGCCCCTCCGTCGCCGCAATGTCTGAATCTGTTTCACTGCGGCAGCTATTACCACCCGGGGCTACATTGCTGCAATACACTACTCCTGCTCAATCTTACCGAGATGCGCGAAAAAATCCACAAAAAACATTAGCACGAAGTCGATTGTCGAACTATACACTGCAACACCCGTTTACCGCCCCCAATAGAATGCATGATACACGAAAGAAACAGATACAGCAGGCTCTTCCCTCTGTTCCTTCCCACCCCCTAAAACTCGAAAACAAATCGAGGTCCGTCAAGGTTAGGCCGGTCTCGGAAGGGGCGCGTCTGAGGAAGGCTTGGTGCTCGTGAATCTCAAGAGACAGCCTGCCGCCTCGTGGGCCGGCCCACGTGCGCGCAGATCGGTTGTCTGATTCGTAACCACTTTGTAACCCATAGCCCCCATAGCAGTCTCCAATCAACTGCAATCAACACCAAACTGGGGATCTACAGCCCTAACAGGGCGGCTGGGAGAGAGGGGCCAGTCTTGCTGCACCGTACCCTACCCCAACCCCGATCTGCGTCGAATTTGAGAACGACATAATCCCCAGCCCCGGACACGTGCCAAGCGCGACACACGAAACAAGCGACCACAGTAGTCCCCGACTCGCCACTACTTGTGCGAGGCTGGCACCTCCGCCTTTTTCGTGTGTTGCCAACGGGGAGGGTCGCGCTCGCACACCTTCCTCGAAAACAAGCAAGCCGGGTCCTCTCGGCGGGGTTCACGTCACCAAATTACGAGGAACAGCCTCCTTGTAGGTGCACAAACCAAACCTCCCAGGCCACCTTCCCGAGCAAAAGCAACACAGTAGTATCATACTTCAAGTACACTGGAGTGCGCCGTAACAAAATGCCAACGAACTAACTCACGCGCTCACGCAGCACGCCCAGGAAACACGGGGCGGCGAAAGGCAAACTTTGCATTGGGATTGCACGCATGTACGTCTCGTCATCATCGCCATCACCCTACACGCCGCGCGATGCCACTGCACGAGCGACTCCTTTGCCTCCGCGGCTGTCGTGGTCTACTTGAGGACGCTTGTCCCCCCAAAATGTTTACATCGCTCCGATGAAAGTCTCTTCTTCCATCTGCTGCTCGGCCTTCGCCGCGAGGTAAGAATTCACGGCGTCCGCGGCCCCGCGACCCTCGTTGATGGCCCACACGACCAACGACTGGCCTCGGCGGCAGTCGCCCGCTGAAAATACGCCTTCCGCGTTGGTGCGGTAGTCCCCATACGGCGCGTGGATGTTCTCGCGCTGGTTGATTGGTCGACAGAGGGCGGGGTTGGGTGGGTGGGTGGGTGGGTGGGGGCGCCGTGAGGTGCAAGCGGAAATGGAGGTCGAGATAACGGTCGGTCAGTGCACGCAGAACGCGATGCCGGGGAGGGTGATGGGTGGGCAGTGGGTGTCCAGAAATATATTTCAAAATAAGAAAATAAGCACGTCTTCAAGACCAGACGTGTATGCTTTCTTCATTGTCCCGTTCTGTATACCTCTTTTGAATTTTGAAAGATGATTTTTGAAATTTTTGGGGGGTGTTCGGAGTGTTTCTTTGCGTCGTTTTTTTGTAGTTGTAACTTTTTTCGGGTTCACCATTGTGACCGCGCACAGCTATTTGATTCATTGACTTCAGAGTACGGAAAAGAAGCGCGAATTGACAAAGGTCAAAACGTTTCGTTCTACTGCAAAAAAGACAGCTACACCTAGTGGGCGAGAATCAGCTGACGACATCTCGAATGTGGCAACACAGTAAACCGGAACCTCATCGAGGCAGATTACAAAGCATCACTGCAAGCGCAACATTTTCGGTTGCAATGTGCTGTATTCGCGTATTCAGTGAAGTCATACGACGTGCGTGCCACACCAAGAAAATAGCGACTCGGCCAACATTTACATTTCGCACCTGGTCGAGCTCAAGCTTGAGCGGCTTGGAAATCGCGGACTCGGGGCTGACGAAACCCATGGCCAGCACCACCAGCTGCGCCGGCCACTCCTTCTCCGTTCCTTCGATTTGCTGCAGGACGACAACGGGAGAGAGGTAGGGCACAGTCAGTCCAGAGCAAATAAAGCACCGTAAGAGCCGCGCCACGTCAAAGAGGTAGGACACTTGGGGCCCGAAAAAAAAAATCGAGCTCGAAGCAAAGGTGGGCCTACAAGTAGCGCTGCAGAGACGTGGTGGTGGAATGAATCACACCACGACGGCGACCACCCTCGGCTTTCAGCGCAGAGTACGGCGATCCTCGGTTTGCAAGCACTTGCCCGATCCCTCTGTTTCACACGCCTGGCCGGCTCCTTGGCCGTCTCTGGCTCTGTCTCTGGCTCACCTTGATGCCGTCCTTCGTGACCTCGACCTCCACCGTGATGAGGCCGCGCACGTTGCCGTCGTCGTCTGATAGGAATTCCTTCGTCATGACGGAGTACTGACGGGGGTCCTCGCCGAACACGGCCCTCACCTGAAGAACAGCCAATCGACAAGAAAAACAATCTTCTTCAGTAACACGCGTAGGATGCCACACGCAAGGGTACCCCTCAAGCGCCCCCGCAACCACGTACAAAGCCACGCGAATACAGCAGTAGCAGCAGGACACACATGGGCAAGCGTAACACAGCAGCACAAGGCTGAGAATGCTGCATACCTCGCCGTGGCCGTAGTCGATACCGAAGATCTTGGGCCACTGGGGCCACGGGTTGCCCGGGGCGCGTGAGTCAGGAGGCTGGGGCAGCAGCTCGAAGTTCACCATGGAACGGCAGCGGTGCCTCATGGAGGTACCGATGCAGTCCGTGCCGGTGTCGCCACCCTACACCATGTGTTCACGGGTTGCGGTGCAGAGTCAAGAGGGAATTAGGCAAACGTACGGCGGCGAACAAACGAAGCAACGCGTGGCCATATGCAGTGATGTGGGGTCCGTTGGGCGGACACGGAGGAGTGAAATCGGGCGCCAAAGCAGTAAGGCAAAACAGCGTGACGGAGAGAGCAGCAAGACAAGTTGAATGGAGATGTGGTGTCGGTCACGAATGTTGACTTGTTTTAAACTTAGTTGTGCAATACACTACAGCGTGTCATACATTCCCTACAGCGATTTTCTATCGTACACTCAGTGCAAACAACTTGCCCCGGACAGAGAGAGAGAGAGAGAGAGAGAGAGAGAGCATGATGAGAGCAGGACAACAATACGTGGCAACGCAAAACTTACTCCGATGACGATGACGTCCTTGCCCTCAGCAGAGATGAAACCGCCATCCCAGTTGCTTTCCAGCTTTCCGTCACCGGTCATCAGCAGCCGCTTTTGGTTCTTGGTGAGGAACTCCATCGCGAAATGGACCCCCTTGAGCTGCGATGATACAGTATATTATTTTTTGCACCAGCAACGTCGACGAAGGAATCGAAGCGCATAAGCTGATGAGCCCCCTCCCGACAAAGCATACCGGCTGGTCATCCAAAGCAACTCGACAGCACTAGTTTAGACAGGATGTAAATCGACACGCTGTTGGAAGAGACTCGTGGTACAACTGTCGAGGGTCAGCAAAACTCCAAAATAATGAAAGGATCGATAGGTCATGAACGGTAGCCTTCCCCAACCGTTCCAACGGCAATCGACACCCTCGAACGGCACGCACCTCACGCCCCGGCACTGGCAAGTCCCTCGGCTTGGTGGACCCCACCGTGAGCACGAGGGCGTCGCACGACGCCCGCACGTCGTTCACGTCCACGTCCACGCCGATGTTGGCCCCAGTGACGAACTCGATGCCTTCTTCCGCAAGGAGGTCAATGCGGCGCTTGACCGTGTCCTTGTCTAGCTTCATGTTGGGGATGCCGTACATCAGCAGCCCGCCGACGCGGTCTTCGCGCTCGTACACGGTCACCTTTGCGGCACAAGTGGCACACCAGTGCGGTGACGTGACCGAGCTACAATAGATAAAACACAGTCCCAACGCAGATACCTCCCGAATAGCGAGCAGGGCCACGCACACATCTCGCCGCTGCCTATTATCCCAGAACAGCTGCAACAATCAACCACCTCGAGCCATTCGTAGTCGGTGCACGTTTGTCCACAAGCAAGCCGTTGCAGTTACAAACATTAATATTCCGTGGACTTGACTCAAAGCGGGAGACTTTCGGGCGAGGTGGTGTGGATTCGGTGGTCGGTGACTTCGAGCAAAATTTGTACGAGGTTTGCGTTCGGCAGCACCACTTGGCAGTCACCAGACGTGTGCGTTTCTTTCCTGCACAAGCGTCCGTCGATCGTCCTGTACGCCCACGAAGCTATACCAAGAGTGTGACATTCAACTTTTCAAGAAAAAAAAATATATAAAGTCTACACTGCGCTTGCTGACCGGCCAAATCGTGAGACACAAACCACAACGAAGTTCACCTTGTGGCCCATCTGGTTAAGCTGGTCGGCAGCGGCAAGGCCGGCCGGACCCGACCCCACGACAGCCACGTTCATCCCGGTGCGGTGGGTGGGGATGCGAGGCACCACCCAGCCCTCCTCGAAAGCCCGCTCGATGATGGAGTACTCGATGCTCTTGATCGTCACCGGTGAGTCTATCAGCCCTGCAACGCAGGCCCCCTCGCATGGGGCGGGGCAGACGCGTCCCGTGAACTCCGGGAAGTTGTTCGTCTGTGCGTTTGCAAGGTCAGGTCCCAGCGTGCGAGGAGAACAAGTGGCGTGAGACGGGTACACTGATGCTACATGTGCGTACGCATACGTCAGAAGGTTGGGTCACTTATGGTCCCGTAGGTTGGATAGTCGCTTGACTCTATACCGTTTCGGTTTTTGAGGCAACCAAGGATGACAAACTCCGTGAAGTAAACGTGTACCATGTAAAATTTTAATTTTCGCGTCAGCTGTGTGATGAAATGACTCTCGTCAAGTCGTGGTTGCTACATACATCCTGTCTGTGTTGCATGTTCCCTGAGATTTTGGATGAATTGTAGGGGCATGGAGCCCAGTAGCTGAGGGCCAGGCCTGTTTGTGTGTTTTCGTCCCATCCTTTCTGGCGCCAGTCTCAATCACAGGGACTTGTTGGTACTTATTGTACCCGCCTGCGGTTCTGTACTAGAGCCTTTGATGGTCTACTGCTGTATGCATACGAAGTATATAGATTAGTTCCATTTTTGCAAGGAGATTGGCATTCCTGCAGTACCGAACAGAAAAATGGCTTGCCGCTGTAAGCTGCGGTATGCGGTGTAGCTAGCCACGGTAGATGATGGGGTTTGGTGAGAAGCGGACCATTTTTTTTGTGTTTTTCGAAGGATGACACAACGAATCCATCTTAATCCTCAGAGTGCAAGATAGATTAGCAACGAATTCAGAGCGTCAGCGAAAACTACCAATGTTTCTACGATTTCCCAAGCAGCATAAAGCGATAGCCCCCTGTTGGTAACAGGCTCAACAAGACAGTTTGGTTTTTCAGCGCAGCGATACACTGAACACTGAACACCGAAACATTCGATGCAAAAAAATAAATAAAATAGTCTGGGCTACTCCTCGAGTCGTCCTCCGTCTTCCGAACCTACCGAATCCATCATACATAGGGTATAATTCGCATGTTTTTTCCCCCAGCATCAAAAACAGTTTCTTGGCAATCATCTGTAACCAGGCCAGCCTGAGGTTCCAAGTTGGACGAGGTGTCGTCATGCAACACCCGGAGACGTCGGCGAATATCTGCTCGCCTATCAACCATTGCTTCTGCCAGAGCCGTGCAGATTTTAAGGAAAAATAATTACACGCACAGAAAGACTTTCAGCGGAAAATTCGAAATTTCAGTCCTTTCCGCAGCAGTAGCGTGGCGGTTTTCGCATGTCATCATCGAGGGGTTCACTCGAAGCGCGTGAGCGACATCAGGTGTACTGAGTACTGAAGCCGACGACGACGGCAAGCCATGCCGCGTTGAATTCGTTTACAACAAATAGCGACATCCTTCGATAGTGCAACCAGCCTTGTGGCACAGCAGCGTATGTATGCATAGGTACTCGTGTCCCTGGGAAACATGTACCGCTGACGGTGCGGGTACGTATGCATACTTTTTTTTTCCCTTTTCCCTCCCCAATTTTTGGTTGAAATTGCATGCACAAACTGCTGCTACCACGCCGACACACCAAATGCTACCACGCCACGCCAGCGGCATGCCTGCAACAAACAACCCTCGATCGAGCTATCAGCACAGGCGGCGGAGTCAGTGAGCAGGGTCTTATCACAGCAGTACACGCGTGTCACCTTGTGGAGATTCTCGATGGCATCCCGCCAAGCGCCCTTGAACACCAGCTCATTCCACTCGGGGATGAGGTTGTGAATGGGGCATCCGGTATGCGTCTGGCAGAAGGGAGTGCCGCAGTCCATGCAGCGTGCCGCCTGCACCGTTCGCTCCACTTCATCGTGGCTCGCATCGTTGATCTCCCCCCAGTCAAACACGCGCTCCAGGGGGTCACGGTACGGGTCCGGGTTGCGATAGTAGTCGATAAACCCTCTCGTCTTGTCGATGTTTCCGAAGGTGCCGTCGCGACGCTTCACCTTGGGCGTGTTGTCCGTGGTGTCGGACTGATCCCGCCAGATCTCGTGGTTCTGGCCCACGGCGAAGCATCGCTGCTGCTGCGCCCGTGCGGCGGCGGGTACGTTCGACGAGGCTCTCCTCGCACCGTTTCGTACTGCTGCGGAGATCATCAGCTCTCAAGTCTCGTGAGCCCCTTATGTTGTATGTGTTCGTGTTTGGTTCAACACGCACCTCCTGTACCAACAACAAATCGGCCTGTCTTATGTACGACGCGCGTTCTGAGCGCGAGCGTAGAGCCAGGTCCTGCTCGCCTATACCTACTTCAAATGCCTAGCGTGCGATAGTTTTTTTCGCCGTCTCTCCTCTGCTACCTTCGTGCTTGCTGTGTGTCGCGTGTGTTCGAGTGTTGTGCCTCGGAACTGCTGGATAGAGGCGCGAGAGCGAGAGAAGGGACAGAAATTGCAACTATTTTGACACGCCTCTTTGCATTTGTCGGGAAGTTGGAATCATATCCCCCCCCCGTCTTCTGCTCTGCAGCGCATCACTGCGCAAGGGCGGACTTTGGTTGGCACTGCCCTTGGCGTGTGGCGATTGATCTATTGGTGAGTACCTTGAGCCAACGGTAGGAGAGAGGGTCGGCTTCTGCCTAATTGCATTTTGCCTCGCTAGACCTTGACTGCGGTGCTAGGTCCAATACCACTTCTCGAAGAACGCGAGAAAACGATGTCTTCCATGCTGACCGCTGTACATCTCCCCAGCGGTACGCTGTCGGTCTCATGTTCGAAACTCGAAACACATCGCTGGTTTGTATCCCAGCGTCGACAACGTTGTCATTACGGTACTTCAGCAGTACGTAGGGCCTGCAAGGATTGCCCCTGGCGGAACTCAATCGCTCACTACAATCCGTTGCTCGTGACAGCGGCCTACACCAGGTTTACCGATCGATTTGCATATTTGCCGTTGAACTACATTGGCCATTGCGCAGCCAGCAGCTCGCAGCCAAACGCATCGCATGTTTGATGGTCTGCTGCTGGGTAATACCGCCGTAGGTACTGTACGGCGTAAGATCACGCACATGAGATAGACACCCCCACAGAAAACAACACCCGTTCGCCGATATTTTTGTTGTGCATATCTCAAACGAGCAGCCGAAATACTATCTGCGGGTCACATACGTAAGATATCACAGCAGTAGTTAGTCTACGCAGGTCTCTTTCAAGGAAGTAGACAGAGGTAATTGGATAAAATGTAGGTGTAGTCGCATGCGGCCACGACGCATGCGATAGCGGAGCACATGCTACTACTGCTGTAGTAATGACACACAGCAGTGGTCCCTGAAGGCGTACAAGATGGCCCAGCAGGGAAAATACGCATCACACCCAATGAGAGCGCAGGGGAACCACCCCGTAGGGCTACAATGCAGACTTGTTCTCACCCACCTTCTTGCATTCCTGGTAGTCTTGAATGATAGCCTTTTGTGCCAGGTGTAAGGAGTGATTGATGAAAGTTTTTATTACTATAGATCTTTCATGAGGTTCTGTGCTGGCACATTCTTTTTCTTTTCGGCGATGTCGAGAGAGGGCTGTTGGCGTCCATCGCGGGGGTCATGTGATCATCACCTCCGCGGTCATCACCCCCCACCCCTCGGTAGGAGGCAGTAGTGTCAGTGCTATCACCCCCGCTAAGCACCGCACACCATGGAAGTGCGGCAGCAGTACGGTAGTTTTTTTTTTTGCAGGAGGGGGTATCACATTCCCTCAATATCAGTCCTGCGCGGGTAGCCGCAGGCACGGTAGGTACGTTTACAGACAGTGCTAAGCACACCCCCTGGTTATCACACACCCGTCATTTCTCCCACGAACTGCACTTTGTCACCCGGGCTACATAAGATTGCACCCCCCACACACAGAACACAACAATTGGTGATGAATTTTAAAGCCAAAATGTGTTCCCCGCGGTGTGTCATTTCGTGTCGTACGGTGTACGGTACATAGATACATTTGGATCTCAGAAGGTAACGTAAACGAATTTGCTGGCAATTTAGTAATTCGGGATTTCTCAGGTTCATACGACCACGCGCTCGGGGGGCAAAACATGGACTACTTGCTGCTGTAGCTTGCACCTCTAACGAGGCACTTCTGTTTCTTGAGGACTTGAGAACATCTGGATTCCCGATGTTGGTTGTCCCACAGAAATATTCTACACCTAGTGTTTCCGTGCTGGCATAGTCCATCTGTTATTGTAGTTGCCTTCACAGCATGCATCCGTCCTCTTCCCTACCAATGAATCTTCCGTGGTCTAGGTCATAGGCTATTGTAACCAACAGCATGGTTCAGTATAAGATGCGTTTTCTCGAACAGGTGGACGACTTTGGAGACTTACTTCCTCTGCTGTAGTGTCATGTAACGAATATTGTACACAATTCCATGTGTAGTCGAAGAACATACTGAACTTAACACGTACTCTATGTCATTCCTGATCATTGTACCATGGTTTTCTCCTTCCCCTCCCCCCCCCCCTTCTCCTCTGCACGGCGCGAACCATAGAGCAATCACTCTGTACAAGTAATCAGCTCACGACCATGAGGAACGCAAGCCGTGGCGGGAGTTGCTTGTTGATAGCTTCGGTGCTCGCTCTTGGTCTCGGCCCTCGTTCAGGGTCGGCATGTACAACCATCGTCGTCGGGAGGAACGCTAGTGCTGATGGATCGACCATGTCCACGCACAACGCGGATGTGAGGCCGGCCGATCGAGCGGCACACAGAAACGCACAAAAATCGCGCAAAGTACATCCGTCTTGTGCATAGGTATCGTGCATGCATGGTATCATACCACGTTGTCTGTGACAGTGCATCCGAAGTTGCACTGTTCAACCCTGACGAGTTGTCATATTGTAGGGGTCCTACGTTTAGATCTGCCACAGTATCGTATGCATAAGTCTGCTTCATTACGGAGGGAAGCATAACGAGGATGATGATGGCAGTTCGGTGAACCTGAGTGGATATGGCGGCCGGACACCCAGCCTTGGTTGTATGGCCGTTTGCAACCGCACACATGGTTTGCAACAGTGCGGACAGCAATCTAGTCCACGACCGAGATATCATGTTTACTACCAGTGCTTGCGTGTGTCACCGGCGCACGTGCTGGCCTACTACCTACCGACGGTTTCCTCAAAGGCTGACCCCCGTGCGTTTTCGTGTTGTCCTCCTCTTGGAGTGTAACGGCCGCCCCCCTCCCGATGTAGAGTGCGCACAAAGCTTGCCGCAGTAATCAATTCCCGCGGTGTAGGTGTAGACTCGTGGGGGGTCAGAGACAGCCGCGGCGAAGACGTTGACCCCATATGTCGAAACACCGTGTCGTCATGGTGAAGCGGACCTGGTCCAGAGGCCACATTGCGCCCCCAAGTGTAATGAAAATATTCTTCGCGTCGTTGGCGCATGTGTTTGAATGTGTGTATGGTGGAGTGCATCTGGTAAGCAGTTGAGATCAAATCCTCCCGCCGTCGACGTGGGTCAGTGAAAAAAACGATCGACACGTCCTCCCGCATTTGGTACCTCAACTACCCCCCCCCCCGTTATTTTGGGGTTCTAATGAGTGTCCCTCACCCCCTCCTCTTTCGACCCGATAGTTTTATTTTATGTGCTTTCTTTGTTGTGTCTCTGGGTTACGATGTCCGCGCTACAACGGACGCAGTGCCTGGACTGCGACTTCCGACTTGGACGGGTGCCCGCTAGAGACTGGCCTGCGGGCTCCCAGAGGCCAGTCGTCAAGTTCCGCGCGGAGTTCCCGCGTACAGGTTGGTCAAATCAAGTGGTTCCCTCCAGTAGGTGTAGGTTCGTCTCTGGTGTTTGCGAATGCACACTTCTCAGCAATATTAGCAACAACTGCCTGTGTTTTTTTTTTACCCAGAGCTTGGCTTACGACGGTCCGCCTCGCGTCTGACTCTTTGTTATTTTTTTGTTATTTTCGCGCAGTAAGCGAGGATCGTGGCTACACATGGACCCCCGAAAACCTCGACCCTGAGCTACCGCAGCGCGACACATGGGTAGACAGCAAATGGAGAGAGGACATGGTGCTGGGATACATTCCTCAGGTATGATCAGCAATGGTCGCCATGTTTACAGGCTCTTTCCCATGATATCCCATGAACTCAATGCTCCTGCTGACATACGCCGCAAGTCTCTTGCTTCGTTTTGTCTGGAGACGTACAATGGCTAACCAAACTAACAGACTAAGTACGGTCTTCCTCGAAGGGCGGCATCATAATCGCGCTTTTTCGTGTCACGAAGCGCGGGCCTAGGCCAACCCGTAGTTGAACATCACTGCCGTTTTTTGCTACGCCATGCTGAGCTGGGTGTTTTCAAGTACCACGCATGTATTGGTTGGGAAGTAGTTTTTGAAGGCCGTGGCGTTTACTAACGGGGATAAGGTATCGTTCGGCTTGTGGGGCTCGTGATGTACTGATATTCGCTCGAAGGAGCTATTGTAGGTCACAGGGCGTGAAAATTCACCCCACCAAAGCGACCGCCCCCCAAACACATGGCGGGCATGAAGGACGGAGAGTAACAACCGGTTGAGTAATTTTCCGTTGTTGCGTGCCACTGCTCCCCTTCTCCGGTTGTTTATGCTATGAAGGTCAACCACACGTTTGCGTACCTTGAAGGTCTCTACGCGATCATCAACGAGAAGCAGGTGGGGGGATCCAGATAGGTCTTTGTGCTCTTTGTTTTTTTTTTAACCCGAACTGCTGTTGGTAGCTCATGATGGCTTTCTGCTCTAGTGCTGTGCTCGCTGTGGTTTAATGTTGCTTTTATTGTTGTTGCACGGTCCTCATGTGTTGGATGGCTTGAGACAATTTTGTTTTCTATAGTCCGACTTGTTTTTTTTGTTTTGGCGTGTCCCGAGCACCATCATAGAAAACTCCACTCCCACAAAACCACACGCTCTTGACCCCTCGAAATGGTCTTGCTACTGTCTTCGGTCTTGCGTTACCTTGAAGCCTTTCTCGGTGCCTCGTTCTTTATTTCTCAATCCCACTTGCGTCTCTCTCTCCTTCTCTCTTTCTCTCTCTCTCTCTCTCTCTCTCTGTCTCCTCCCCGCTTTTTCTATCTCGCTCTGTCCTCCTCGCCTTATCTCTTCCCAGGTCGCGATCGGAGAGTCTACGTGCGGCGCGAAGTGGTTCGCAGGTCCCTTGAGTGACGACTGCGATGAGTGCAATTCCTTGTTCGACATCTCAGAGCTCAGCCGCGTCGCTCTTGAACGCGCATCAACCGCCCGGTATGTAGCAGGCTTCTCACGAACATCCGTCGATGGAGGAGGTGGGGATTTGTAGCCATTTGGTAATTCCCAGCTAGACGTGGGGAGATGCGGGTATCGCTATCGAAAACAACACGAATGGCACGAAGGGCTGGCTTATAACCATTATCTGGTCATAACAATAGCAACCGGACGGAGGCAGGGCTAGCGTTGACATGGAGAAGCTAATGTACCTAGGTGTGTTTCTACCTAGCTGTGTTTCTGCTAACTTTAGGAGGCCGATGTACTTTAGGAGGCCGGTTCTCACAATGCGAAGTACTTCTTTTAGATACGTATTGGTGGGACGGGTCTGTCGACGTCGAGCAAGTGTTTTGCTCAAATGCTTGTTCATGTAGCGCTCAGATCTTTATCTGGTACTCATGACGGCAACAACCTACGCAACTTGAATATATTTCATCGAATTCCCTTGGGGACTCGGGGCGTTTTTAGCGTTGTGTGTTACCATATGTGCGCGTGGTTTATCCTGAGGCCTCGCGTTTTGGGCACACATGTCGTGTCCCGTCATGTGCTTCCATTTTTGCAGGGAAGCCATCCAGATCATGGGAGACCTCGCGGTGGAGTACGGCTTCTACGGTAGCGAGTGGGACTCAAGCGACCCCATCACCTACGAAGAGGTGCGTGAAACTGGACTGTAGTTAAGCAGACCGACAAAGAACAGCAACACCAAGCTCCTCTTTATCTTTCGTCGCCGTGAGTGTATGGCAGACGGCTTGTACCAACGGGGTAAATAATCGAAAGTTGCTGACGGAGTATACTAGAGCGTAGACGTTGTGCAAGTGTGTTTGACGAGGGCGTCTGCGTCACCGCGTGCGACCACACGCGCACGAAGGGCTGCAAGATTTGTATAGAATGACTACAAAACGGCAATGATCGGCATCTCTGGTACTGCACAATCGCGCTGTCTGAGTTGGGGGTCCCACGCTGACCTTGAGACAATAGCCTGGTCTGCGGACCTTGTACCACTCTCTCGTGCGTCAATCCCTTTTTTGGCGCCGACTGGTGCTGGCTAGATAGCACTGCTCTCGTTGGACGCTACCACCGTGATGCTAACGCATACCACTTCAGCGTCCATTCTACTCGTGGATATACTGCTGTACCTCTGCTGTACGCGTGTGTTTTTTTGGCGCGATGCGACCTATTAATAGTTGGTGTTGTGCTGGCGTGGTTGACTTCTTCAAAGTAAGAGTAGTACTCCCCTGGGGGAAGAATAAATGATGATTGCTTTTGCTGAAGAGCGATTGTGTGAACACCGTGCGTTGGATGCGGTTCGCGACATCATACCGTTTGTTTCAACTGGCCGCAACCGCGGAGTTCATATTGGCATTGCTTCTCGTAAGGAGTGCTTGCCCTGTGTCATTCCAGGTGCGTGAGTGAGAAATGGAGGGAGGTGCCCACCGGCGTTTCTAGCTTCTGAGCCGACCTGTGACCGTCTAGAGGTGTTGCGTGGCCTCAGCTATCCAGACATCGATCGAACAACCGGTAACACTTGTTTCGCCTGGCTTTTCCTGTGACTGCGTCATGTCCCATCGTGGTGTTTTCATTGCGTTTTCGTGTTTCGCCAGGCGGGTGAGGCTCTGACCGTTACGGACCCTGACGAGGCCTGGGTGTTCCACATTCTGTCCGATTATACTACTAAGGTATGACCAAGCGAGACAAGCTTTAAGGCGGGGCGGGGGGGGGCGGGTAGGCAGGCGAGTCAGGGTGGAAGACAAATGGCACGATTCGTCGCTGCAAAGAAGCTCAGCTTGAAAGGCCACGTGGCAAGCATCAGTGCACTGGCTCTATCTTTTGTCAATCTGTCTTTTCTCTTTCACCGCCTCTCTTTCTGTCTTTGTCCCTCCCTTTTGTTCTCACGGCCCACGGAGAGGGATAGGAGATCGAAGGAGGCACAGGAAGGTTGTGGCCAGCAGAATAGTTCCACCTTTCATAGCAGATGTCGGGCCAGCTGATGAGCGCGAATACGTTTCTGCCGTTAGTTTCACCCGTCAGCCCTTGCCGTGTGCCGTTATCCTTCCGTCACGTTTACGCAAAGAGTGCCATCTGGGCGGCGCAAAGGGTACCGGCTGATCACGTCTCCGTCGTGGCCAACCAGTTTATCATCAAGGAGGTGAATGAGATTAGACTGAGTCTTCGTGAAAAGCATGACTCTTTCTGCGGCCCCGACCATTTTAATCCGACCGGCCGCGGTTATGGGCTTGCATCGTTCAACGCTAGTCGGTACGGTTTCACTGCTGGATAAACCGTGGAAACTATTGTTTCGCGGTACGGGATTTTCGTGTTGATTTTTGGTGAACGCGGCGCGAGCCTTTCAGGTGATTTTGCATCCTGCGAGACAGACTTGAGGGCTGCAGCTTGGGGCTTCAACGCCAAAATATGTGTAATAGATAGGTAGATAGGTGTGCCATTCTTTTTTCTTCTTCGCTATTGGTACAGAGATATGCTCAACTTTCTGTTTTTGCGCCTTTGGCATATAGGTGTGCTGACTTTGCTGTCTTTGGCACTTGTGGTATCTTGGTGTGCTCAATTTTCTGTGTTTGCGCTCTTGGTATATGCATAAATGTTCTGAACGTTCTGTTTTTTCGCTTTCGGTAGATGAGGGATACGGGGACAACGGGAAGTAACCCATGCCCCGCGGCGAGGGACTCTGTCAGAATTACCTCAAGACTACGACTTATTAGGTGCTGCAACTTCTCACCTGAGATGATTGCTTTTTCGGTATACACCGGGACATTTTCAACACGACACGAAGAAAGTAACCCCCCCCCCCCCCACCCCCCAGCAAAACACTCTCC